GTGCTGTCAAACAGGCGACAAAGCCTACAAAGCCTGTTCAGTGTGTGTCCTCAGTTTCACAAATCGGTTATCAATAATCTAATCAGTTGTGTCACTTGTTCGGACAGATGTAAATCACTGTGATTGAAAGGGGAAAGTTTGTTTTAGGAATGAGCCCGGAGTGAATTGTTTAAAGTCAGGAATCTGGAAGAGCCTGTTTTTCTTACTTGGTGGAAAAACATACCTGACATGAAACATTGCTGCTACCTCTCGCATTAAAATCACCATCCCAAATGCCTAGTTAAAGATAGAAGCCGCCTGCTGTTTTCACACTTTGTCAGGGCCCAGTGTCATTCTGCATCATCTTAAAATGTCGTCTTTAGGCAGCAGGATTATCCCTCTCTCAGCATACTTCACTCAAACTCTGGAGAGAGCAGTGTTTGGGTAAACCATAGCATAGGTAGTGATCAAGCTAACATTTTAAAGGATTTAAGAGAACAAGAGGGAGACAGGCTTAGTGGAGCTTCACTCAAAATATTGCTGCGTGGAGGTATCGTGCAATTATTTAGCACACTAACACAGCAGTTTCTCTTAAGAATTGAATCTGTAGTTGTTGGGTTTCATCATAACATTTTCGGGACATAGATTCATTAAATAAAAAAAATAATTCGTCCTATTTAGGTACATTTAGTTTGACTTCATCTTTAGGTCCAGCTGTAAGCACATTGCTTTGTTTTTAATGTATTATCTTGCTGGTACACAACACTATTGCTGTATCATCAGTACAGAGGTGCCTGAGGTAGGTGAGTGTGTAGGTGTATGTAGGCATTGACAGTGCAATACTTACTCAAACCTGCCACACACACCAACACACGACACACATGGTCCTCGTCGGGTAAGGAGCTTGTTACTCTTTTTGTGGGTTCACTTTATCTTTTGTTAAGTTGTTTGTATGTCAACTTTGTTTAGGTACGAAGGAACGACTAGTTGGGAGTAATTCGGCACGGGGAACGTTCGCTGTTTTGTCGCCAACTGTAACTTTTGTGATAGTTAGTAAAATTGAGAATTGTTTGTTGTAGGCATGTGTTAGTCAATAGAACAACTATATTATATGTCATTTATCTACGGAAACAGTGTTAGTTGTCGACGGGAACTTTACGCGGTAATCCTAGATCTATTAAATTCAATTTAATAATAAGTCTGGTGTCGGGAAGACAAAGTAAGAAGACAGGTCTATTCAACAACCCAAATCGGTCGTCTTGGTCATCGGTAGTTACGTCGAAAAGTAAGTACAAGATCAGATTGAAGAAGATTTCGTCAGAGAGTTAAGTGTCATTTCTGTATCGGACCCTCGTTTTACGACGGAAGATGAGTGAGGTTGTCCGTCATCGACGCATGGTCAATCTGCCTCCTAAGTTCTATCTTGCGAAAGTGTTGTTTGTGAGACAATTGTTCGTAAATGTGAAAAAAAGTGTCTTTATTTGAACCGATTACTTCACTATTTATTAACTCACTTCTTACACACTCCAACGACCAGTCCCGCTACACAATGAGGAGACTGAGCCATACTGGAAAAAAGACAGTACTCATTAAAAGGGGTAATAAACATGAACTGTGTATACGAGGGTTGGTCAGACGTTAATGATGGTGTGAACGAGATATGTGTTTTAGAATTAATAACATCCAGAGGCACTAATAGATACTATCTGTATTTTCGAAGAGGTATACAACCGTAATGGTGTCTGAAGCCAAATATCTGATTTTGATAGAGAATTTATTACTGTCAGAATTTTTTTCGTTACTTAACATAGATAACTTACTGATTAATGTATATCAATGTCACTACAGATGATAATAGTTTACTTTTTAAGTTACTTGAATCTATAGAAAAACTTATCTAATATGTATTCCTTTTTAACACTATTATCCTCTAATGGTAACTGGAGGACGATTACTATAAGAGGAAGCTTAGACAGTCTATTAACAGTAGAGTAACCGATCAGAGTGATAACTTAGCATATGTACACATACACAGTACACTAATTTACAACCTGTTGAAGTTACATACTGACAAAACATATGACCGTTAGTCCTTTGTGAAGTCGATACTCAATATGTCATCGACAGCCTCCAAATGTAGCATGAGAAGATAAATATGTCAAGCTTACTACCAGGTAAATAATAGATGATTACCGGAACGAACTCTTATGAAGTCGTGGTCACACTCTTGAGTACTCGGACAAACAACTTAAGATATAGTTCATCTTAATAAATAAAAGTAGAGGAAAACGACTTAGGAATCTCGGAGGTCGACAAAAAAAGGAGAATCCTTTCCCACGTCACCCGTTGCAGGGAAATCAATCGTGACAAAAAGGTCCGTCGGCCCTTATTGTTGATGCCGTAGTGAGACTTGAACATGCCAAGATGAGAGTAAAGGGACCATTTGTGTTGACACACTGAAAAAGAAACAGTAACCTGTAGTACACTTCACCTGGGACACACACACACTTGTATTACACACACACACACACACACACACACACACACACACACACACACAAACACACACCTGTAAATTATTTAAAGCAACAGATGGGGACAGAGCAACCCGACAGTCACCGGAAAAAATGAATGAAGCGGTCCCAAAGTCCCAAATGTCTTCTCCATCTTTCATCCAGTTAAATCGATCAACATAATGTTTTTTTCTGGGAAAAGCAGATCACTGGATTTCACCAACAGTTGTTTGAGTGCATCCATGTGTTCGGCATTGGCCTTTCACTCCTCTTCCCCTGCCAGTGTGAGCTGGCTCCAGACACTGCCGCTGCAAAGGTCAGCGTGTGTGTGTGTGTGTGTGTGTGTGAGTGAGTGTGTATGTAAAACAACAACAGTGATCTATATAATGGGTTTTGTTGTTCCCAGGGCAGATGAAGACTGAGATTAGGCTTTAAAAGGACAGTGCATTTATTAGGCTTTCATTTCTGTGAGAACCATAATCCCAATGGAAGTAAAACCTTTATTAGCTCATGAATTCTGCTTGCCTGCGCGCCTGACATTATTTTCACCGGGACCTCGCTGAAGTGCATTAAAGTATCTTTGTTTGGTAAATGTAGTGATTTATTAAGGACATGATCTCAGATGATGTGGATTTAGGCTTATTTATTTTTTTATCTCAACCCCATGCAATATTTGTAATGGTTTTTGTTGTGCGTCAATTATATTTGTATTTCACCAGGTGCCACTGCGTCCAGTTCAGCGCCCTTGTGTACACTTCACACATTTTGTTGAAACCATTCATTTTGTAAAATAAATGGCAGACCAAGTAGGGTAGTAGGCAAACAGAGGATCAGGATTTCAGAGGGTTTGCAACACAAAAAGGATGTAGAAAGATTGCTTGAAAAGCTCTTATCTGTTATCAGGTCAAAAAATAATTCCAGTAGCCCCCAAAATGAAGCATGTAACAACAGACTGTATGGAGAATGAGTCCACTAAAGTCAGTTAGAAGTGAAAAATCATGTATCCAATATAAAATCATAGAAGACACCTATTACCTAGAAAGAAAAACACATTCTGACCCTTAAAGGCTGTTTAAATGAACATTTCAGACAAACTAAATGTTCACAGTCCTTTTTACTTAAAGTTCACTTGTTTGTTAGAATTTAAGGATGCACAAAATGTGTTCTGGAACGAAACCATGAATGTAAACATCACTTTACATTCAATTTCTTTGTGACGCATTGAAGAATGAATACATTTTCCTTTTGACAGTTTATAATGTGACATTGCACTAATAAAGAACATAATGAAGAACATACTGTATCTTCAGTAAAAAAAAAAGATGTAATGGCAACTGGAAATGCAGAAGATGCCATGCAGAACAAATTAAATAAAAGAAGATGGAGATAAACACTAAGAAACTTTTCAAGTAGGCTTTAAAAAGTGAAGTGCCTAGTAAACTTCACCCTGACTAAAGGCACATTCACTTCACATTTTGACTTCAGCAAGGATAAGTACCATCTGTCCGCCCCATATTCTTCATCTGCATCCATTAGTTGTTAAGGGTCCTCTGATCTCTCTCATCCAGCCACTCCACATAATTATTCCCACTCTTGGGACTTAATAGAGCAGCATCACAACCACCTGCTGGGTCCAGTCCCTGTAAAGCACATCACAAGGTGCTTGTTTTTTGGGTGTCAAGTGCACAGACAAAAGTATGAAATGGAGAAAATGCGTGGACGGCATGCAGGTGTGATCCCCTTTTACCTCAAGCTGCATTTGACTCAAAAATGTCAACATGGAGTGGATTTGGTGTCAAATCTGGTAAAGCAAGAAAACTAGCCTTTGACATGACACATTTTCTTTTAAAATGTTGTAGTACAGCCTAAATAGATTTTGTTTCTGTATTTCATTGTTTTAATAAAACCAACAATAGTGTGTAAAGGAAACAGCTTGTGGCTTTTTTTCTCCTTTGGTGTAGGTAGAGTATCCATATTGTATAGTATGCTTTTTGCCCATATGCATATTTCACAACATTTGATGTTGATAATCTTGTACTATTGAATGCAGGTCAACATAATGCTCTTTAGAGCCAGTTTATAAAGGCTTTTTTCGCAGGCTTTATTTGACTTTAAATTGATTTGCGGTAAAGCGTTGTGAAACATGCATTCATTCTTAATGAGTGCTTCCAATGTAAAATAGTCCGCTATTGTATTGATATGTGTGTAATATGGCTGGGTGATTTGGCTAAAATGATTAAACATTATGGTAATAAGAACATTTATTCAAATGTTGGGAAACTTTGAGCACATCGTCCACACACCAATGATAGTCCTGCAAATTGTTTATGATTCTGACCGACAACGACATCAATATATTTGTTTTCCTCTTTTATAAGACGACAGTGATTCCTCTCTCGTTCGACTGTATTACAACACGTAGATGCTTTTCTCAAATGTGTACAGGAGAAATACATGCAAGTGCATACAGATTCGTACACGTGCACAGTCTCACACAAACAACTAGGCATGTGGTACTGTGGCCTGTGAGAGGGGAGGGTGTTGATGTGCCACCGGCTTGAGTCTGCTGGAAAGATGTAGTGTTTGTGTTACATTATCACCTGCTTGTTGAGACTCTGCTGCTCTGGAGCCCCGGCTCAGTGCCCCTCTGCAGTGATGCTCCCCTCATTAAGGTCCCTCTCCTCTTCCCTCTGCCCCCCAGGGAGCAGCCGATCTACACCACAAGGGCCCATGTCTTCCAGATCGACCCAACCACAAAGAAGAACTGGGTCCCTGCCAGCAAGCAGGCCGTCACCGTCTCCTACTTTTACGACAGCACACGCAACAGCTACCGCATCATCAGTGTGGATGGATCCAAGGTATGTGTGCATACTGAGTGACTGTGTGTATCTATGTGAGAAAGTGATGATGGGAAACCTTTTAACTGTTCTCAGGGGAGACAGCTGAGGCTGAGGAAGAGCATTAAAAGCCAGAATCCAACAAAAATGATTTGGAAAGCTATTTAATGTTACATCTTCATCCTCCATGGATCAGCAACAACTCAACTGTCGACCACTTATTATTTCTGTGCTCTGCTGCTGCTGATTTTAGGAAAGCCATCTATGGCTGCCCGTTTCTTTAGAACATTTGGGGATACATTTGAATTAAATCAATATCAACTTAAAGGGATGTTTTCTATCATTGGTATACTGTAAAAGCAAAGCAATAACTGTGTCCAATCATAATGCATATAGACCAACCTCTTCATATGTGTCAATCTACAATTATTCCTTTTTATTTAAACATTTTGAATGTAGGCTTAGCATACATTTTGGATACATTTCAAATTATTTATCAACGACCTAAATTGTTTTACATTTAGTTTTTATTTGTTTAACACAACTACAATTCATTGTATTGAGTTATTGATTAATGGCCTAATCTTTTAAACAGAAATGTGTAGAATGATAATTCTATTCGGTCATCAATGTGACCGCTAAATATTGTAAAATGATACCTCAGCCCTAGGTTTATTGTTTATTAGATAAAGATAAATGTTAGAGCAGAAAAGCACACAAAGAAAAAACATACTTTATTTATTGTGAGCACCTGCAATATGTATCAAAAGAGCACAACCGGTAAATATAGGTCCTAGATACAAGCATATTTAAAAGGATCAGAAACTTTTATCAGTACAGAAATGTAACGTGCATAGAATCCAAGTCCGAACAAGCAAACATCCGCTTTAACACATCAGCAGACAAGCGGTGCACACCTGTTGAGTTGCAATTTAACTAAATTATCTGCAATTTACTTTCATCGACAAACGGCCCACATAAGTCATTTCTCCTGGAGCTTTTTCACTAGTCACGCTTGATCAGTTGTGTTTCCAATCAAATGCCTCTGCATTGATATTTTTGTCAACTGGTTTTATGTTTCACCTTTGTGTTAAAAGACAAGGAATCACTTGGTTGTTTAACTTGCACTTTATGTGGAGATGCTGCTTATTATTCAAAATGATCTTGACCTGTCTTCTCAAGAGAACGATGTTGAGATTTAGTCATGGATGTGATAACAGACACCGTAAGAGTGTGCCTATGTACCATATTCACACCTTCTTCCTCCACTATCTAAAAGAGTAGATTGTGTTTCCATGGCGATCAGAGCCTACTCTCTGTGTGAAAACTGGAGGAGTTATGACCGCACTATCCCTCTGCGGACACTGTCGGGCAATCACCTCTCGCACGATCCTAAATCACGCAGGTTACCTTCAGGATCGGTTTGCCTCCTCATAGTTCGTCTTTTCACCTGGCCCCTCTCTGTCTGAACGACCTGTTGAGTTCAGTTTGAGGATTCCTGAAGGGTTGGTCTCTCTCACGTGAACTCAACATGGAAACATGTTGAATCTGAATGTAGAGTTTTGTCACAGCAACTAGTTGACAAAACTGACGACCAATTCATTCAAATGACATACAGTATCAGGAATTGTTTCTGATTGAACACGTTTTCCTGTTCAAGATAAGTTAGTTTAAAATACAATTATCTTTTATAGCATTGTTGAGTCAAAATATATTGGGTTCAAAATGGTTATCTTCCTACAGCTAGAAACCAGCGAGCAAGACTCTAATCTGTTATGTCAACAAGCAGCAGCTACAGCACTGACAAAACAACTCGCATGTTTAATCTTTATCATACAATTCAGATATCTTTGCAAGACGTATATTTGAAATCCACTTTATTTCTCGTTGTATACACCTTCAGGATAAAGAGGGTATACAAACATGTCCTATATATCCTGAAGGCCAGAAGTCCTCTCTCTGCGCTCCTGACCTCCTGTCCTCCTGTCTCTCCTCTCATGTAACCTTGAGTTACAGAGCAGTGTGTGTCATACAGCGTCTGCACGCAGCAGCTACATGTGAGCTATATGATTAACATTTCTCATAAAGTGTTATGTCAAGACCTAAGTTGATCCTTGTTTCCAGTTAATCTAGGTAAGACAAAGTGATCATGTCGGTGTGAGCAAAGTAACTGAAAGGGAGGAAATGTTGAGTCAGATAAAATGAATGTTAAATATAGCTTGTATTATGCACACTGGCTGCGAGGGAGACAGGTCTGTCCAGAAGAATAGTCAGCGCTGCTGAACGCACCAACTTTGACAGACCATCAGCTCGTATTCGCCCATCCGTGATGGCGGGGCAACTCACCGATGATGATAGGGAAAGTAGAGGAGCATATCAGCACTTTTGACTCTCCCTTTTTCCTGAATCGCACTTCTCATTCAGCAATGCACCACTATGACAACACAGGGAAACGCAGTCTTGCTGTACTTTATGAGTTATTCCAAAAATGATTACTTTCCAAGCTAACCCAAAATAAACACTCAGCTCTTTTTGAATATTTTCTATGCTTTTATGCCTCATATATTTCTCTCCCACATCCTTCTTTCTCTTTAACTACCTTTTTTTTGCATTTATTACTACTTCCTCCCACAGCAAAATTTACATTTTGTCTTATTTGCCGAAGCCTGGTGAGCTCAAAGACTGGTGCCAGCCAGGATTAGGAACTCAAATTTAAGTAAGCTTTTAAATGGGTTTGTGGCTGGTAGGTGTGCCCCATGTTATTTTTTGTAACCTGGTTTAATGTAAATACACTAATATTACAACCAAAAGCCAAGTTCCCTGTATAATCTGCTGCTCTCTTTTGAAATGGTGGCTGCACCCAAAGCAAATCATAAAGGTTTTCACATTTTAAGAGATGTAATTTTTTTTTTCAACAATAATAAGCGTGCTATCCACTGGGGATGAAAGAGACATTTCCTCATTGAGCTTCAGACTCCATGATTTGCTTCACACAATTTTAGGTTCAATCAATCAATCAATCAATCAATCAATCAATCAGTCAATCCAGTTTCAGAGTTAGAGTAAGGGTAAATCATTAAAAATCATCAAGCCATCGATGAGAGAATTCCCTGGGTTGAAAAAAGTCCCAAAACAATCATCCTTTAGGATTATAGTGTAGTTACACAAAAACTGGTATGAGCTAATGACAATCTCCAACATCAGGAAGATCTGTCTTTTAAACAATATTTCATAGCTTTGAATCATGATAAAGTCAAGCATGTCTTGATTTTATGAATTTCTTGAAAAAATAGGTTGCTGTGCATCAGCCTTATACAGTAGATCTGAAACAAGTAGTTGATTGACAGAAAAAGAATTGCACATACTTTAATAATCATTAAAACAAATATTCATCCTATTTTATATCATATTATTTCAACATCTTTGTGTTTTATACTGACAAAACAAGATATTTTAAATACATCACCTTGACCTTTGAGTAACTGAGTTTTTAATGTGTTGGTGCACCCCCGACTCCAACTAAGTTAACACCCCCTCCTTCGCTCAGAGACCCAACCTGCGTCATTGCCACCAGAGAACAGCACGTTTCTGCAGTCCTTAAGAAATGACAGAATGTATCAGGTCATTGAAGAATTGGCAGATATATTTAATATCACTTCATCTTCACACACCTCTGTACGATGAGCCATTTAGCCATTTAGCTGTCATCTTTCTTTAGCTGTGTTTAAATAGTAACACAACTGCCAGCTCCACCTGTTCATCATCATCACCAAAGTCACTGCAGCCCATTTCCCGCCTTTTTTAAATACACAATATACCCCTTAAAAACTGTCTTTGTGCCATAAATTCAGCTGGAACTCCCTGAAGTCTGTTGACCTCAGTGAGTGAGTTTTTGTTTCTCAGGATATTTCTTTTTTTTTTCTTGAAGACAAAAACCTTTTTAAGATATGTAGTGTCACAAATTAACCAAGAGTTTTGGCTCTCTAATTAACAAGACATTTACGTTTTTATCATCTTTAATAAGCGATCACAGTTTTTTATCTCCCATAGACTCGTCTCCAACGTTCCACATCTCCTGTATTTTTCACTGACTCTGCAGATTGTGTGCACTCTGCAGACACATAATAAGCTGAGGAATTTTTTCCTATAACCTCCTGGCTGCTTCTGAGTTTCTCACTGACCCCCAGGCCAGTGGCTCTGCTCTGCGCCGGTGCCACTTGATCCGCAGCCCGGCTCTCCACCGGCACAGCTGCCAGCGTCACTCTCCCTCACCCGTCTCCCCCTCCCACTCACATGCTCACTCAGTCGTATACTCGTACATGCCAGCATAGAGTCACAGAGCCCACAGATATCAGGTATTCCTGGTTGCAACAAAAATATAGTAAAATGTATTTGAATTTGAGTGAGGATCTACGAAATTTCAAAATGTAACGGTCAAAATGTCCTTAAAGGACACAGAGGTGCCTTATATTGGCTTGTTTGGTCTGACCAGCTGTTAAAAAAGTTATTTAGTTGACAATCCTAAAAGACAACAAATCTTAAGAATAAAATAGCTGGAATCAGGGGATGTTTGTAATTTCTGATTAATGAATTATCTTCATCTGTTTTAGCTCTAAATCAATCAAAACCCTTCAAATGTGTACAAAAAAACTAAAATTTAGAATCTGGTTCTTTTTTCACGTTAATTTACCTAGAGGTTATTTAAATAAACCGTCGGGTATTCTCTAATTTGAGAAATGTCACAACTCCTAAATGTCCATATTATATCTCAAATCAAGATTAAGTTAGCTTAAATAAGTTCTGTGTCATAAAATCAAGCAGCTCAGGCATATCAGACCAACAAGGGGAAAGCTACCTTCATCAGTTTGAAGTCAATTTAAAGAGCTACAACTTCAGCTGCAGTTCTGAACATGATGTGAAGCTTTCTGACAAAACAAAAGAGATAAAACTGAGAATAAATGTTGACTTAAATTGACTTATTGAAAACATATGATAAATATGATACATTTGAGGGAAGTCTGTTTTAAAAAAAAAAGAAATCATTCTGTTTTGATTCATATCATTCTTCTTGACATTTTAGGTTTAAATGTTGGTTACGTATGTTTACCATTGGTTACCACATCCTTTTTAATTGTTGTGCTTGGCCTAGTTTCTTTACAATGATCATTAAAGTTTATCTGGTCACTTCTGTTGAGATCTGTTAAATATTCACTCAGCTGCTTTTTGTCTCTCTTCAGGGGAAATTAGGTCACCTTTGTTTCCTTGAAAGAATAATGACTTGAACATCTGATTACTAACACCTTGCTAATTTGCCACCCTCCGTATAAACCGGAGATGCAGCAAAACACCTTGAATGAGAGGTTGTGACTGTAATCTTTGCAGTATATGACACTGATGAAGGTATCTTTCTCTGTATGTGCAGCCATCCCTCTCTTTAGTATTGTTCTGAATGGTTTTGTGCGCTAATGTCTTCATTCTGTTAGCTCTGCTTTTGTTGGTCCCTGTGTCCAGTAATGATGTGACATGTTTTAACACCTCAGCCACTGAAAAGATGAAGAGCGAGAGGGTGGGTGGCGTAGAAGAGGACATAAGCTTGTCAGCAATTTGAATTCTCGAGTCCTGTGATCAGAGCCATGTTGCTATGAAACCAGGGCTGCACTGTGATTAAAGTGTCTTCTATTGTTTCCTAATTGTTGTGGTGGTTTGCATGTGCTTTGAAATGTTCTTATATCTTGGAAGTGAGACTGGATTTGTGGACATAAGTAACTTAAAGCTACCTATGTTTACATGCACATCTAGCTGTTCATGTGTGATTTAATATGTACAGTGATGCAGTAAACACAAAAGACATTATAAGATGTTTTAAGCATCTATTGGTGTCTTCTGCCACTCCCTTGTGCACAAGTTACACTTTTAGACTGCAGCATATGTTTTTTAGCAGCTGATTCACTGCATAGCTGCAACAGGTGAATGAGTACTGTTACAAATATGGAGACTGTAATGTGTCCACTTAGAGGTTAGTGGGTCAGCAGTCATCAGTGCATGTTTTCCGTTTTGTCAGAATCTTTTATTTATTTTGCTACTATTACGTTTTTGTGAACACATTCCTTTTTGCAACTTTGAAAGAAAATGTCTCATACACATACCCATTTGGGGTCTCCGATTCCCACTCATTAAAAATCAATTAAATGATGTTATGTATGATGTTTCTGTTCAAGTCTTTATTTGAACTGCTGCATGTAACCGAATATCCTAGAATCTAGATGGAAGATTTTGCATTATTAGTTTGGGAAGTTGACAGCTCAAGTAAAATAATATGGTGAAAATATGTAAGCCAGAATGTGATGCAGCTGCTGTCCGTGTAATGAAAGTTTGTTGACAGCTGTAAAATCTCCATAAGCAAGTTGTTTTTGACTTGATTATATGTGTTTGTGTGGTATAGCCTTATCTGCCAATTCAACACTCAAACCCAAAAGTCTTAAAACAGAGGAGCACCCCCACATCTTTGTTTTGAAAGCTTCCCTGTCAGTTAAGCTGGCCCCTGTTTGACTTAATGTGCCCGTTTTAATGTGAAAAATGATGGCAGGTAGAATAAACTATAAGATACATGTCTTAAAATCCCATACATTTATATGTATTTCATATTTCTATGCTTTTAATGTATAGCATGTTTCTCACTATAGGAAGGTTAGAGCAAACAGTTACTCTTTGACTACTTCCAAAGATAGCTTTGCATACATAATAGCTTTTAATTCTCTCAAAAAGTAGACCATCAAAAGAAAAACATATACAAATATGCTGATGGTAATTAATTGTGTCAGTGTAGGCACAGAAGAGCAGATTGCTCTGTATGAATAGAGAGCCACAATAAATGATTGTCCTCTACAACATAAATTGGACTTTTCATCATGCAGCTGCTGGAGCTCCTTCTTGATTATGTCTTGAATAAGACACCATTTCAAGCTTCTTTATGAGGGAGTGCCATGAGACACATCTGTACTGATTAGGTTTAATCTCTAATTTGATATTCCTAAATTGATATATTCTAACAGGTGATCATTAACAGTACCATCACACCCAACATGACGTTCACCAAGACATCGCAGAAGTTTGGCCAGTGGGCGGACAGCAGGGCCAACACTGTGTTCGGACTGGGCTTCGCTTCAGAGCAGCAACTGGCCAAGGTGAGGAAACACTTGTGCAGCACCTACTGCGATCAGAGCATCGTAAAGCTTAGAGACAATTGTATTTGTTCTTAAACTGGAATGTGATGCTGCATCATTTGATATTAAGTGAACATCAGGTGGGGAAATTAAACAACCATTAGAAGATTTAGGGGAAATCTTATTCTTAAATCATCACTAATACTAATAATTGGCTTCATGATCCCTTTGTAAGATGAGCCACACTGTGGATATCGATTTAAACTGGTATTGCCATTAGTCAACTCGTCTGTGTTTTTTTCAGTTTTCTGAGAAGTTCCAGGAGGTAAAAGAAGCAGCCAAGCTGGCGAGGGACAAATCTCAAGACAAGGGTGAGACGTTGAGTAATCACTCCCAGGTAAATGATATCTCTGCTTTCTGAAAGTCGGATTGAAATCCTCTGCTGTCCCACTGTGTCCTTTACAGTCACTGTTGTCCTCTGAAGAGAAGGAGAAAAGAAAACTATCAACACTGTGAAAAACAAGCAATTTAAACATTTCAGTTTAGCTTACTTTCCTTCAACACTAATGGTTACAGATGATCTGTTTAGAGATGCATCAGAAAGTGTTTAAATAGTGTAGTTTAAATATTTAAATTAACTTACTGAAGGCCTATAAAGCTTGTGTTGAATATTAAAATGTCAACACAACATGTAATCACTAATGTACCAGTGGGAATTGAAAAGAAAGGTCGATGGTCATACTAATTACCAACTACATGTCAAGCACCACAGCCATTAAGGGGCCAAGGAAGCCAATGAGAGAAATAAAACCCTAAACCTTTTTCTCATTTCATCACAAATGATTCTTAAACTGGTAATTGTGTCAGTGAGTAAGCAGCATGGATGGAGGTGCAGCAGTCTGGCCTGCACTCACTCCAGATGGCAGGACCCAGACCCACAAAGCTGCTGGGCCATATGACATGATACATTCTGGCATCAGTTACACCTCACAACTCCGCTGTCAAAGCTGACGTGATGATGTTTACAGTGTTTCCCCGAAAAAGCCCACGGCCAGATTCCACTGCCAGAGCGAGATCCATGAGACTCGTTTATGGATGTTTACCCATCAGACCTGTTCAAAGATAAAGGCAGACTGAATCAAAAACTATGGCACAATTCTGTCTCTCCAGGAGGAGTCTGGACGTGATACACCCTCGAGCAACCGGGCATCCAGCATTAACGGGACGGATGATGAGAAGTTCTTGCACGTTGATCCAGAGGAGGCTGTGCTGCAGACTGAGAACGAACACCTCAAGAGTGCCATAGAACAAAGGTAAGGTTTCCCATACGAGGCCCTTTTTGAGGTGACGTGCATCTAAATGTGTCTCCAGCACCCCACTGTGCTCGTACGCTCCACTCTATCATTTAAGGGCTCAAGAATAATTGTATCTAATCTAAAGAGTGACACTGCCTTTCTTCACCATCTGGTTATATGGCCTTTATAATCCAGATGCTGAGTGAATAAACGGTAATTGCATGAAACACCAGATGTGGGTCCAGATGGGATTATAATGACTCAAGGGCGTCCGAGTCAACTACAACTACAGTCAGTTAATTTAGCCAGAATTAGTCCTGGGTAGCAACACAAATTATTGACATATTTGGTCCAGATGGGATAAAAAGCCCTCAGGTAAAACAACAATAACCAATTAGCAGACCTTTTCTAGCAATACTAAAGACCTCACACACACAAGACAATAATAGTTAAATGAACATCTGCATGAGTGGCGTACGTAAAACTTTATTTCCCAGTTATACTTGATATTTTTTGCAAAACTATATTGTATAATTATGTAAATCAACGTTATTTTCACTTCACATCCGGTTGTCCCAGAAGATATACATAAAATGTAAAGATTTTCTCCCCAAACTCAAAGGAAGATACTTTGTTGACAAAAAGCCATCTTAAGAAATATACCCTTCTTCAGAAAATTATTGTTCGTTTGCCTCCCAAATATTTACTTTTGTTAACATTGAGCTGTTCAATTAAAAATAACATTTTGACGATAAACTAAACTCAAGCAACTGTCTCTTGTAATTAGCACTACACTTGAAAAGTGCTTTCCAGGAAGCACCCTATGATTAGGCATTCACAGATCTGTAAATGAAATGTGTCATTAGAAAAACAAAACTTCTTCGTCAGGTTGAGGTTGTGAAATAAAGTTTGGTCCCCCATCGCTCCCTGTCTCTGTTCTCCTGCTTACACAAGGCCTTGAGATGTTGTGCTTGGTGGAAGTATGTCACAGCAGTGAAACAGCCGAGGACTGCAGAGGTCCGTCTGCATTCGATGCAGAGCAGCACACTTCAAACCGGCCATGCATAAGGAAGGGAACAGCGATGCATACTAAATATACATCACTCTGACCTCATTGATAAGACAGAAACACTCTCTGTGGTATGAAGAGATAACAAACTGTACGTTGGTACATTTCAGGTCTGCAGCTCATTCAATCTTTGAGAATTGTACCACTTGTTTATGATCTAAATAGCTCTTGACAGTGTGATGTACATCACAGCTAATTAAAAAGTCATGACTGCAAAGATTTTGCAGCATTATGTCATGTCAGTGGGCAGAAGCTCCAGGCATTCCAGCACTAACCTGTGTGTGTTTCCTCCATTAATAACTATTCTCCTGGATCCCTCTCCCTCTCTCCGTCTCTCCTGTCTGACAGCAACACCAGCGCCAAGAAATGGGAAACAGAGCTGCAGACTTTAAGAGAAAATAATGCCAGGCTGGTGGACGCTCTGCAGGAGTCCTCTGCTAATGTAGAAAGCTGGAAGAAACAACTTGGTGCCTGCAAGGAGGAGAGTGACACGCTCAGGGAAAAGGTAATACATTTTGAGAAATAAAATAACGTTCACAAATAAAGCTATGCTACCGGCAGAGAAGGCGCTAGAAACACTGTTGCCTCTTCTATAAAAGGAACACAAGTGCAATATGAAACGGTCTCAAAATGAGTACAATATCTTTCCTTGGTAGATATCTCTAAATATGCATAGTGGGATGATTAAATCCCTCATCAAATTGCACATTTCTTCACTTTGAGCAAGCACAGTACTGTGTGTTGTATCAGTTGCTGTGTTCCCTGCACCAGAGTCCACTATAAATAGAATCATTTTAGTTTCATAATCAATGTGGGCTGTTTCTGCAGCTGGCCTGGGGTTCTGATGATACCTTTGATTTTGTACCAGGCTTTCGAATTACTGGTGTCAATTTTCAAGATGACGTCCATTATAGTATTCTCATAATATTCAGCTTACTATACAAATAAACAGATGTATGATGGGTGAACAAAATGTAATTATGTTCTTAAAGCAGTTGTCCTCATTGATTTACTTTTCACAATAAAACACTTTTTTAAATGATGTTTCTTATTTTCTTTGTGTGCAGATTGCAGAACTAGAAGCTCAGTGTAATGAAGCCAACCAGGAGAAGCAGAGGAACGTTCAGCTGTCGGTCCGAGTGCAGGAGCTGGAGGCCGAGCTGCACGACAAAGAGCAGGTGAGACGTCTGTTTGTTTGAATCAGAGAGGGCCATTGTTGAGAACAGATATGTCTGTAAACTTGGTATAACAACATTTCTTTTTTTTCGTATTGGAGGTAACATTTACCTTGAAAGTCTACAATTCACTTCTCAACCATGTAAACACTTAAGTTTGATCTCTCACGCCAAAATGTCCCTGTGTCTCTTCTGTGTACAGCAGCTCATCCCCTCTTGTTCTCACTCAGCACCCCCCCTCAGGAGGTGATTATATCTCCGTAGGAAATTATTTTAGTTTTATCGTGGAATCTTGGATTTTTGTATGGATTGAATTGCTCGCCTCCCCAGCTAAACCCAGACCTTACTACTGTTGACTGTTTTTCTCTTCATTTCATATTACTTCTATGCTGCCTTTTCCAGCAATTTACGAGATATTTGTCAAGTTTGTGTACAATTTGCCCCCATTGTGAAGATCGTCAGGCTAGGGAATGTGAATTCATCCACTGACTTTGTGACTGAAGTCAGAGCAGCAGGGAATTTTGGCACAAATGCCATTAGCTGCATCGCCTTATGTCTACTGGATCCGTCGTCTATAATCCAAACTAGCTGTCGGCTCAGTGGAGCCTAATGATGCTGTTATTTCTAATGAGGAGGAATCCTGCAAGGACACACACTCTTTTGACCTTTGATCTTTGCTGTTTAAATGGTGTTTCTATCTGTGGACAAAACATTAGGACCCACTTTTGGGAATCTCTGAGTCTTGCTGCCATTCATTCATTCGTGTCTCCCTATCCCTGTCATGAAAGGGAGGCACATCAGCCACGTGAGAGGAACAGATTAAACACATAGGAACAAGTTGCCGAGTCTTTATCTATTTGTGTCAAAAGCATAGGAAATAAGGTAGTATTTATCCCTGTCCAGAATGGCTTTCGAAGTATAAAGTGGATACCTGCTAAGTCCTTTTAAGATATGTTCTAGATTGATCCCCAAAAGATAGTGTGAAACAGCAAGTAAAAAAAGTGGACACTGAAGTAAATCAAGCTTTACACTCTCTAAAATGTATTAAACGGTTTAGTTTTTTACAAAAGAATTAATACGGATACATCGATTATAAGTAACTGCTGCAGATATCTTTTTTGTTTAGCAAAACATTTTTAAGCTCCACTCCTCATATTGCTTGTTTATTCAAATCAGCCCTTTGCCGTCAACATTGAAACAGACAAGCTGTACATTTACACATTTCAGAAGCAGGAACTAGCAAATATTTGAGGACCAATTAATAATTTAAGTAATTAGTAAAACAGATTATCAAATAATGTTGTTGGCTAATCGTCCTTTGATTCTCTAATCACTGAATTTATGTTGTGTTTAGTTTGAATGACGACGTTTCTCTGCTCTAATGTGTAGACCCTTTTATTTCCCAGAGGTAAACAGTGTGTCTGGGATATTCTAGTTTAGCACCTGGCAGCCTGAGTATTTATAGAACATATAAATCTTTCCTTGGAGAGCCGTGTGTCTTACACAATATAGGAGGGAAGCAGTTCAAAGAGCTGAAGCTGATTTTTGAAAGACTATAAAAACAGAATCATGTCCTTCGGGGGCTGCAGGGTTTTCATGGTCCTGTGTATCAGCCCCAGCGCTTCTAGCAGTGACCGAGGGGCCTGCAGCAGGAAGTATCATTGTTTGCACAGCGCTGATACGGCCGACGGCCCACAAAGACTCATCTGCTGTGTGACTCAGCCGTGTCTGGAAATTCACTCCTCATATTAAAAAAAAAAAGTGTGGATGAATTATTAACAACCACTGTGGTGATGACCCCAGCGCTGACCTGAAGTGAGTTAACAGAACAAAGTATCAGCAGGTGACTTAAAAGAAGCTGCAAATTAATACTCTGTGTGGAAGTTCTTAGAGCGATGCTTTCGAATGTAAGGGAAAGTGTACGTACACTATATGTTTCTTTTTAAGCAGCAGAGGGATGCAACTTTCACAGCAATAATAGATGTTTTATTTGAGTAGAAAACAACGTGGACACAAGACAATAGCATAGTCAAGGCTTCTGAATTCATTCTGGTCGGTTTTCTTTTTTTAATCTTTTACCTTGATTTTCATTGTTCCTTACTGCTTTGTGTTCGTGACATCATTGTTTATCAATTATAAAATGTGTCTGTAGCACAGATTATAAAAAAATATTTGTATTGGTCTTCACTTACTTTTTTATCACAACGTTTCTGAATTAAATTCTAACTGACATTATAACATTTTGTGGAAAAAGTTGCTTATAGGTCAGTCTCATGTTTGTAAATTAAATGCAAAGCTGAAGCCACGAGACAGGTTAGGTTAGGTTAGGTTAGCTTAGTTTAGCTTAGCTTAGTTTAGCATAAAGACTGGAGAACAACAAGCCAATATGAGTGATTTCCCAATGTTTGGATTCTATTGTTTATTTAGATATCATTGTTCTTTTTAAGCCCCAAGGTCCCCGCCGGCAGGGACCCTGTTTTTTTTTTTCAGGACACTGTGTCTCAGGGGATCTTAATATTTAAGAACCTATTAATGTGTTATACCAGATTAACGGAAATAATCTCAGCTAA